AAGAATTTTCCCTCATTCTTTTACTGGCTCTAGGTCACAGCTTGAAAGAAAGGGGGAAGGAATAAAAGCGGGGGAGCTGAAATGTGAGGAAGCAAGGAGAACAGATCAAAAGAAAAGCTCAGAATCCCTGAAGCTGGGGGCAAGTATCAGGAAGCATTTAAACCTTTTTAAAAAGCCTTCAGCTGCGCTCTCTCTAAAAGACAAGCAACACAGATTGACAAAGGCAATGCACTTACTATACTGTTCAACTTGAAATTAACCAGATGATTTGAGATTTTATTTTCTCATAATTTGCATAAAACATGGAAACAGGCTGGGCACGGTGGCTCACGCCTGTAATCCCAGCACTCTGGGAGGCCGAGGCAGGAGGATTGCTTGAGGCCAGGAGTTCGAGACCAGCCTGAGCAAAAGTGAGACCCCATCTCTACGAAAAATAGAAAAATTAGCCAGATGTGGTGGCGTGTGCCTGTAGTACCAGCTATCTGAGAAGCTGAGGCAGAAGGATCACTTGAGCCCAAGAGTCTGAGGTTGCAGTGAGCTATGACGACAGCACTGAACTCTACCCAGGTGACAGAGAGAGACTCTGTCTAAAAAACCAAAACAAAACACAAAAATCCACCATGGAAAAAGTCTAAGTCAAAGTCCATGTCCACCACCTGCCAGTTGAGAGAATGTTACTAATGCTCCTCATTAGTAACATGTTTTATAACAATATCTACAATACAGGGCTACTATTAATATTATGATTTAACAGATACAGCAGACATACATTAAACACACATCAGAAAGAGACTCAGGAAACGTTCTTCATTTTCTCTCTTCCCTCTCCCTGTCCCCAAGGAATGTTACAAAGAGGGGAAGAAACAAAACAAGAACCTCCTGATTGATAAATCCATTTTTTCCCTAAGATTTCAACCAAACTTTCTTTAATACTTAACATTGCTAACCTAATAACTTCTGATTTCCAAATCTGCTGATTTTTCGTCACTGTTCGATAATTTTTTTTTAAATGAGAGAACAATCCCACATAAACAGGCAAAAATCTCATGAATATAGGGAGTGAGTACCACTGAAATGCTTAAGAAGTAGAGCACTCCAAATCTGTCCTTTATTAGATACTTATCCCCACACCAATTTGAGCCACTTTTTTTGAAACCTCTTTAGATAAAAAAATTGTTTTAACTGGGCAGGGTTTAAAAAAATAAAACTAAAATCCCTTTTAAAGCTAGGTTTTCTTCCCCTCCCACCCCTCACTCAGAATGTCTCTTTAATTTCCCATTAGCAAAAATATTAAAAAACCATGAACAGAGGCC